TGTGTCAGACTGTACAATGCAGATGAGACACAGTGGAGGTCAGAGGGAGGAGGAGGAGAAGAAATATTGGGCTCAGTCTCCGAGACTGAAAGAATTTATAGGCAGATCATCAAAAGACGAAGAGTATCTGGAAGGCTTGAATACCTGGCAAGATACAGTGGTGAATCCCCCACCAAGTCTGGTTCACATTAAGATGTGTGTTTCAGCTCACATACTTCCATCCCTGGCCTAACAGGACAAGCTGTGTCTATGATAGAGGGTAACACATGGCAATATTTTTATGCCTTCTCTTAATACTAAGTTCTAAGAAACAGACAACAACTACAAATCTACAAATAGAAATCTAGTTCAGAGGCCAGGGACTGCTTTCTGTCTCTTCACTCTTACTTTTCAGTCCACTATATCATCAGTAAATTTGGTCTTTAAAAACCTTTTAAAAAACAATATATCTCCTTTGTAGTAATCATGTTGAAAAAAGATATGGTGAGAGTCCAGTCTTGAATTGTTTCGTGTGTCTCGTTTATTACTATTTTGAGTAAAAATCTTACTTAAAGAACAATCTGGCAAAAATTCTAAATATGATGGCAAAGATAGTCTCATCATTTTTGAAGACATTTAGTGAGCATGTATTATGTGTCATAGGATTCTGAAATGAAGAAGCTACAAGTGGTCCCAGGCTTCTTCGATTTCGAGATAATGAGAGACAGACCTGAGGATAAGTGATCATAACAGTGTGAAAAGCACTATTAATGTACATATGAAACAAGTGCTATGGGGGTTCTGAAGAGCAAGCTAATAATTACCCAGCAATTATAGAAAAAAAATTTATACTTCAGGATTATATAAAATAACAATCCTTCAAAATTATATTACAAATTTCTCTTTACTCTGCCCATCATTCGTTATTTGCCTGATTCATTATTTGATATTAACTATACTGAATTTTGCTAAAAAGGCCATAACAAAATATCACAAACTGGGTGGCTTAAACAACTGAAAAGGAATTGTCTCACAGTTCTTGAGACCAAAAGTCTGAGATCAAGGTTTTGACAGGGCTGTATTCCCTGTAAGGATATGGTAAGATCAGTTCCAACCCTTTTTCCTAGCTCCTGGTTTTTCATTGGCTTGTGACATTTTAATGCCAATATTCACATAGAATTCTCCCCGTGTGTGTATTTCTCTGTCCAAATATTTCCTTTTTATAAGGATACCCGTCATATAGTTTTGGGGCCTACTCCACTGTAGTATAACCTAAATTTAACTAGTTACATCTGCAATGACCCTATTTCCAAATAAGACCACATTTCAAGGTATTTTTGGGGTTAGGACTTCAATATGTGAATCTGGGAGAGAGACAATCCATCCATAACATTTGTCTGAAGCCTGGTTATCTTGTGAAAGGCCTGAGTTCCCTCCAAGGATAGGATACTCTGAATTTGAATTTAAATGCAAATGTTAACAAATGGGTACAGAGCCAGGTGTGCTTTCTGTAAACTTTGGACATTTGGGAAAAATTGACAATGAGGTCTGCAAGTTATCTGGCAATCTGAATAATCCATATAAGAGAAATAGATGATTATAAAATAATCTAAGATCTAAGTTCAGAACAAATGTCCCTAGTAACGGCAAAGTATATACTGGCTTTATGATTTTTTACAAAGTCACTTTAAGATTTTGCTGAAATATTTGTATGTTTTTCAGTTAATCCAGGAATTTGGCAATTCTTTCATGGTTTCTTACAAAAGAGAATCTGTGGTAATATAAAACTATTTGATTAGATTTATTCAATCTGGAAGGAGTAAAAATAGGTTCACCACTGCTTAGTTTGGTTTGTCTGACACTAGGCATTACATTGAAATGGTTAGAAAAGTGAGAGAGACACATTGTTTTATTTATACAAAGAAGGATAAACTATGGTTACTATACATAAGTGTTGGTGGAGTACCAAAGGGTGATTGACATATGTTAATAAGAAACCTATGTTTCATTGTGATTGATTTATCATATTAAAATACAAGACATAAGCTTTGCATTACAGCAAAGACATGTTATATAGAGCATGGGACAGCAGTGGCAGGTCTGGTAGATGGGGAAACTTGTTCTGGCTATTTGGGCATGAGTGGCACATTTCAAAAGGTGGCATAAAAATAACAAGATTTTTACATTGTTAGTTTAAGTCATGAAACTTGTATCACTGTGGGATGAATACATTTTTTAAAAGTACACCATTTAGGAAATTAGAGAGTTGTTATAGCTTCTGTCACTTTTGACACATTGGTCTGAAGGTGAAAGATGATAAATTTTAAAAATTAGCAGTAGTGATGACACAATCACATTTGACATTTTTGTAGAAATCTTTACATCAAAGGGACATATGTGGATACTCAAATTTTGATAAGTTTAAGAAAAACAACAACGAAGAGATTAGTTAGAAAGGTCCAAAAGCAAAAATGTAGGACACTTAAATACATAGAAATAGCATATACCCTGACTAAGGATACATTATCAGAGACTTGTGAACACCGACAAAAGTAAATATGAGGCTAAATATTTGAGTTTGGAAAAGATGGAGGAGATGTGATTGGAGACCACAATACTGATCTTTAGGGATAATGTTAAAAAAAAAAAATCAAAAGTCATTCCCAAGTGCATAATAAAAGAATTCCCTTCAGACAGGTGACAAGTATATCAGAAATGCAAAATCCACTGAAGATTATATTGACCTATTAGACCATGTTGGGAATGAAACATTCCAAAGAGATAGTAAAAAATACAAAGAGACTGAATGGATGCTTTGTGCCTAGCTTGCTTTCCAGGATGATGAAGAAGTATCTACTCTGGAATTACTTTGTACAAAGAAAGAAGGTGGAGAACTGTCAGAGAAATCAAAACAAAGACCTGATTGAAAAAATATGAGAAATTAAGTGGCCATAAATCACCATGTTCAAATGGTCTTCATCTAAAACTTCTGAAAGAGTTAAAGAACAATGTAGCTAAGCTACCACCAAAAATGTATCAACACCTTCCATCAAAGAGGAGGGTGATGAATGCCCATCCATCTTTAAGAATAGTTCAGTGTTACTTGTAAGGTTAGATTTTAATAAAAAACATGGTGTTGTCTAGAATTTTTCGTCTTTAAAAAATAGTGTATTTTTCCCCTTGTGGAAACTGTGTACTTTCACAATTAGTTGTTTCTGGAAAAGTTTCTCCATACATAGCCTTTGTTTCTTGTTTTGTTTGTTTTGTTGTTGTTTTTGTTTTAATTTCTAAGTGTTTCTACATGAGTTTACTACCCTGAACATTACTGAACACTGCTTATTAGACACACACTGATGGGTAACCAAGGAGAGGATTGTAACCCAGCCTACAACAACTCATAGCAGCATTTGTTGGTTGTCAACTTGGTCTGATTGATAAGCAATAGCTTTATTGTTACAACATGTGGTGGCACTTTAGATACTAAGAACCATGCTGAGAAGAGCACAACAAAACCTGCCTGGTAAACTTGGTTTTCCAAAGCAATGAATGCAACTATTTTGCCTGAGAATTTTCGCGTATCTTGAGAAGGTGGCTGTTTTCAAGTTAGGGCAATTCTATGGTACCCAAACTAACACAAATTAATAAATGGCCTATTAGCTTGTTAGAGTTTCAGGTGATAAATTCAGTGCTGCCCATGAAACACCAGGCATTGATTGCACAAGCTCTCTGTTGAACTCTTAGCAGGTGAGCACAAGCCAGGCCTTCCCATTTGCATTACCGGTGAACCTCAAATGTGACCTCTCCAAAGGAAGGAGGAGAATTCATTTGCCATGTTTACTTTATATTGAAAATCTTTTTAGATGGAGACTCCTAACTGAGCCGAATGTTCTTAGTTAAGAGTGTGAGGTGTGCTGCATGATTGGTGTTTTTTACAGTCTCATGAACAATTATTTCTTTTATGTCTTTCAGCCATCACCATTCCTAAAGAGTAAGTTAATGTGAAATACCTGTGAAGTCAAATGTGTTTCATGATCCATTTTCATAAAGGGTGTGATATTTAAAAACCAGCTCATTATTTTTTTTTCTTTTCTTTTTTTTTTTTTGCTAAAAGATAAGAAGGGAGCTTATTCAAGGAACATTTCTCTTCTGCCTCATTCTCAGGATTACCTGTGTGTTCTATGATGGCAACAAATACACTGCTGCCTTCTCATTGCAATTATTTCATCTAAGCCATTCACATTTTGTGTTTTGTTTTTGTTTATTTTACTGTTTTACTTAATGGGGCAATTGTCCCAAAGCAATTATGGACATCTTTTTTATTCCTTTATCTGGATTATGTCTCACTTTCCAAATTATGGCAGGAAAAAAAAAAAAAAAAAAAAAAAACAAGAGCAAATAATTGTGAATGAAGTGGTGCATAATAATGCTTCAGCAGATAATCAGGATATTTGAAGTAGGCACTTCTCTCAATGTTTTTCAATTATTCAATACTTTGAATATCTAACAAAACTATGTACTCACTCCTTAGAACAATGTATGATTACTTGTAAATATTTTACTATGCAATTTCAGTGGCTTACAAACCTACAAATAACCATCTCCAGACTAGAAACTTTTGCCTGGCTGATACATTGAGTACAATAAACTACTACTACTTTCAAATAATATTATATCTACTATCAAATAATAGACACCTTGGCTGAGCATGGTGGCTCATGTCTATAATCCCAGTGTTTTGGGAAGCTGTGGAAAGAGGATCACTGGGGCCAGGAGTTTGAGCCCAATCTAGGCAACATAGCAAGATCCCATCTCTATAAATAAAAATAAATAAACAAATAAATCAAATAATAGACACCATGACACCCTCAATCTGTTCAAGGATATTTCGCCTGCAAATATCTTAAGCAGTTTGACTACTTTTCCATCAAATGGAGGCTGAGATGTAGTGAAACTGTTACTAGATTTACAATTAGAACTAGATCTAAATACAATTCAAACTGTAATTAAGTTGCTATAACATGTCGTTCTAATAGAGAAACTATTGTCTAATAGTTTTTTATTGATAAATTAAACAGATTGAATTAGGATTTCTCTAAGTCCAATCCAGGCTATAAATTATATGACCACCTATCTTGTACAGGAAAAAATTCCTACTCTCATTGCTGACTGAATAATAGGAGAAGTCACACATCAGTTGAAAACATACAGGAATGGTAGAGTCATATGAATTGGAAGACTGTCTATTTAAAAGTAATTTAAAAAGTTGTTATTTAATTTATATTTTCAGAAGTTTATGTTTCTATATGCTGTTGATATTTCATATTTTTCTATCTTAAGTTCACGAACATTATTCCTAGAACGCATATATCTAAAAATGTATTATTTTCAGATAACTTTGTTTTTTGAATCGTATTGCAGTTTGCATGCTTACTGAAAAAGACAGAAAATACATTTCAAAAACTCAATGAATTTATTAATTTTGTCTTCATGATTTCCGAAAAAAAATAAATTGTTTTGTTTTTCTTAATTTGTATCTAGTTAGGGAAGGCAGGATATGCAAGACAGGAAGAGTCAGACACTAGATTTCAATGGCCTGGTTCAAATCCTGACTGATCTCTTTCTTTGACCTTGAGCCTTCACCCCTGTGAATTGGAGCAGCTAATAATAAGGCCTACTTCATGGGATGCTGAGAGACTTAGATGAGATACATATACCTAGGTAAAGTGTTAGACCACCAGAGGTGATCTAAAAATGATAACTGTTATTCTAATTAATGTTGTCATTCATTTACAAAGTATTTTTTAAATGAGTGTTGTAAGAATAAAACTATATTCATTATGACCGCTTGGTTCTGAGTAATTGAAAACTCCGATATGCATATTTGTGTCTCTCTCCAATTAAAAAAAAAAAAAGCCCAGGATAGCTAATCCATGGGTGGAGATGGGATGCTGGTCCATGGGGTCAGCAGGGACTTGGGCTCCTCTATGTTTTTCTCTGTCATCTTCAACTTGCAATTATTACAGCATTGTCCAAAAAGACTGTTCCGCCTCCAGCCAGCACATCTGTATTCTCACCACCTGTAAGGAGGAAGGGATAGAGAAGGATATATTACTGTTTTTTAAGGACATTACTTCTGTTTATATCCTATGGACCAGAACTTAATCATTAATTATAGACCAATCTTAGCTGCAAGCTTTATATTAGGCCCTGTACCTAACCAAATACTGAAGTTCCCTTACTGATAAGAAAGATAATGTTTTTATGGGGACAATGAGCAGCCCTGACACAAAAACTAAATAGATCATTTTTTAATGATCAAAATTAACAAAATTCATATAAAATATAATTACTTTATGACTTAGACTTAGTGATATATTAAGCACAGTATTTTCTCCCTCAATGGTTATTAATTCCCCTACTTAATAGCTTTATGAAATTTTATATTATATCTTTCCCATTACTCTCTTTTTTTTTATGTATAACTGAAATAGTTTATCTCTTCAAAAATTTTTTAATCCTTCACCTTATTTAGATATCCCTTCTACGTAATTCAATACTACCCATTCCATACTCTAATCATAGGCACTTATAACACTATAATTATGAATTACATGCCTATATCCCTTATTCAAATATTCCTTGTGGGCAAGCACTACATCTAACATGTTTTTGTAACCTCAGACTCTAATGTATTTCTGGAACATAGTACATTCAATCATTACTCTCCAAAAAAATAAAAAATAAATCAATAGACTGTATGAGGAAATTTATATGCAGTGGAATGTAGAACACTTTGACAATTATTTGGTGCATGTAAAACTAGAAATCAACTATCATGAATACAACACATACTTGTCTAAGCTCTCTAGTTATATAACAGGTCTTTGAACTATTGCTGTACTCTAATGTAACCAAAGGAATACTCCTCCCGATTTCCCGCATATTGAGGAAGGTGAGAGCTTTGAGCCATGATTACAATTTAACCTGTATTAATAGTAATCCCAAAATTCTGTGACTCCATTCTTTTCACAGAGAGTGGACAATGAATCTCTACATTTTCAACTACTTTCATATTCCAGACAAACTGAAAGTGTTTACTCTGAACTCATTGATAAAGGAATGGAACTGGCACTCTCTGACCTGACTGACAAAATGAAGTATTGTCCCAGAGAGAGGATCCTTGCACATTGTAAGACCGTTAGAAAATAGTTATCTTACTTTTATTTATTTATTTATAGTTTTTATAGCGGTGAGAACACTTAACATGAGATCTACCCTCATAAGAAATTTTTAAGTGTCCAATAACAGTATTGTGAAGTACAGGCACAGTATTTTGCAACAGATCTCTAAAAAACTAACATATTTGCATTCCTGAAACTTATGCCAATGGATTAGCAACTTCCCATGTCACTCTATCACCCCAGACACTGGCAACAATTATGCCATTTTCTGTTACTAATAATTTGACTGTTTCAGATAGTGCATATTAGTGGAATCATGAAATATGTGCCTCTCTGTGTCTGGCTTATTTTACTTAGCATAATGTACTCAAGGTTCATCCACATTGTCGTATATAGCAAAAATTCTTTCTTAAGGCTGAAAATATTCCATTTTATTTATATATCACATTTGCTTTATCCACCTATCCTGCTGATAGACCTTAAGGTTGTTTCCACACCCTGACATTTGTGAATAATGGTACAATGAACATGAGAATGTATTATCTTGTTGAGATCCTAACTTAAGTTATTTTGGACAAATACCTAGAAGTAGAATTGCTAGATCATATGGTATTTTTTATTTTTATTTTTTGAAAAAATTTCATATGGTTTTCCATAAGAGATGCACCATTTTACATTTCCACCAATAGTTCACGGGAGTTCAATTCCTTAACTGCCAAGATTTGTTGTTATTATTATTATTATTATTATTTAATATTAACCATATCAACATGTGGAGTGATAACTTGTATTGTGGTTTTTATTTGCATTTCCCTGAAGATTAGAGATGTTAAGCATCTTTTCATAGGCCTGCTGGACATTCGTATGACTTCTTTGGAGAAACGTCTATTCAAATCCTTAGCCAATTTTTAAAATAGGATTAGGTTTGTTTTTGTTGATATGATTTCACTTTGAGTTGTAGAAATCCCTTTTTTATTTCGTAAATTAATCTCATTGGATATCTAGTTTGCAAATATTTTCTCCCATTTGATAGGTTGCCTTTTCATTTTGTTGCTTATTTTCTTTCCTGCGCACAAGCTTTTAGTTAGATGCAATCCCACTTGTTAATTTTTGTTTTTGCTGTCTGTGCCTTTGGTGTCAGATTTATGAAATCACTGCCAAGACCAATGTCATGAAATTTATTCTCCATCTCTTCTTCTGTTACTATTCCAGTTTCAGGTCTTAAATTTAAGACCTTAATTTATTTTGAGTTTTTTTTTGTGTGTGTATGATGTAAGATAAAGTTTCAAATTAATTGTTTTTACATTTGGATGTTGTTTTCCCAATACTATTTGTTGAAGAAAGTATCATTTCCCATTTTATAGTTTTGTCATCCTTGTCAAAGATCAGTTGACCATAAATGTGTGGATATATTTCTGGGTTCTGTATTCTGCTCTGTTGATCTATATGTCTATCTTTATGTTAATATCATACTCTTTCAATTAGTGTAACCTTGTACTATATTTTGGAATCAGAAGTGTGATGCCTCCAGCTTTATTCTCTCTCAAGATTTTTTTTCGCTATTTGGGGTCTTCAGGGTTTCCATATAAATTTTAAGCTATTTTTCTACTTCTCTGAAGACAACAATTGCAATTTTTATGAGGATTGCTTTGTATCTGTGGATTATTTTGGTTAACTATGGATATTTTAAAAACATTATGCCTGGTAATTGATAAGTGCAGGATGTATTTCAACTTGCATCTTTGTTTTATTGATGTTTTGTACTTTTCATTACACAGGATTGTTCACCTCCTTAGTTAAGGTTATTCCTAAGTATTTTTTAAATGCTTTTTTAGATGGGATTTGTTTTGGTAATCTCCTTTTCAGATATTTCATCGCTAATGCACAGAAACACAAAAACTTACTATAAAAAACTTATTTTTGTATCTTGATTTTGTATCCTTCAATTTTATTGCTTTATTTGTTCATTCTAAAAGATTTTTTCATTTTTGGTTTTTGGTGGAGTCTTTGGGATTTTCAATATGTGAGATCAGGTCATCCACAAACAGAGACAATTTTACTTCTTTTTTCTCTGAGAAACTTTATTTCCTTCTCTTGTCTAATTGCTCTTGCTAGGACATTTATTATTATGGCAGAAGTGATAAGAATAGGCGTATTTGGTTCACTGAATTTAGAGGGAAAGTTTTCAGTTTTTCACCATAGAATGTGATGTTAGCCATGGACTTTTCATGTATATTCTTTATTATATTAAAGTAATTTCTTTCTATTCCTAATTTGCTGAGATTTTATTGTGAAAGTCTGTTGAATTTTTCAAATGCTTTCTGTGCATCTACTAAGATGATCATGTAATTTATATTCTTCATTCTTTTAATGTGGTATATTATATTGATGTTTTTATGTTGAGTCATCTTTGTATCCTAGATATAACACCTACATTGTCATGGTGTATGAACATTTTAATGTGCTGTTGGATGCAGTTTGCTAGTATTTTGTTATGGATTTTAAATTCCATATCCATCAGAGATACTAACCTACAGTTTTCTTGTTGTGTCATTGTCTTGCTATGTTATCAGGGTAACACTGGCCTCATAAAATGAGTTTGGGAGTGTTCCTTCCTCTTCAATATTTTGGAAGAGTTGGGAAGACCCAGCATTAATTTTTCTTTAAATCTAGTTGTATTTCATCGGTTAAGTTACCTGTTTCTTCTTGACTTAATCTTGGTAAGCTATATCTTTCTAGGGTTTGATTCATTTTTTTCTAGGTTATTCAGAAAGCATACAATGGTAATATTCTCTCATTATCCTCTTTATTCTCATGGCATCCGTTGCAATGTCTCCTTTTTTATTTCTGATTATTTATTCAAATCTTCTCTCTTTTCCTTAGTCTAGCTAAAGGTTTTTTTTTAGCTTTGAAAAGATAAATACTTCATTAAAAAAAAAAAAAAAAAAACAGTTTTGTTGATTTTTTCCCATCATTTTTCTATTCTTTATTTTATATATTTTGCTCTGATCTTTATTATTTCCTTTTTATGCTAAATTTGGGCTTAGGTTGTTTTTTTCCCCAATCATTTGAGGTTTAAATTTCATTTGTTTATTTGTGATTTTTCTTCTTTTTGAATGTTAGTGTTTTATCACTATAAACTTTCCTTAGTACACACAGCCTTTGCTGCATCCCATAAGTTTTGTATGTTGTGTTCTTACTCTCATTTATCTCAAGATATTTTCCATTTTCTATTTTGATTACTTATTTGACTCATTGGTTGTTCAAATTGTGTTTAGTTTTCACATGTTTGTGTGTTTTCCAACTGTCCTACTGCTGTTGATTTCTAGTTTTCTTCCATTGTGATTGGAAAATATAATTGGTAGGATTTCAATCTTCTTCAATTTGTTAAGATTCTTTTGTGACCTAAAATGTGATCTGCCCTGAGAAATGCTTTATGTACACTTGAGAAGAATGTATATTCTACTCAATATATATGCTACTGTGGGGTGGAGTGCTCTGTGTATGTTTGGTAGATCTATCAATCTGTACTTTTGTTCATGTTGGCTGTTTCTGGTCTCCTATTATTATATTGCAGTCAATTTCTTCCTTCAGCTCTGTCAATGACTGCTGTATATATTTATATGTTCTGATGTTGGGTACACACACACATATGTAACATCACAATTATATATACATATATATATATTAAATTATATCTTTCAGACAATTTTATTCTTGTATCCTTATATAATGTGCTTCTTTATCTCTTGTGAAGGTCTTGTATTTAAAGTGTGTTTTGCCTGATCCAGGTCTAGCCACTTCTGCTATCTTTTGGCAGCCATTTGCATGGAGTATTTTTTTCCGTTTCTTCACTTTCAGTCACTGTGTATCATTAAACATAAAGTGAATTTCTT